CGGCTGCTGACCGACCAGGGCAAAACATTTTCCGGCAAAACTACTCCAACAAGTCTGTGAGCTCCTGGGCACGAAAAAAATTCGTACCTCCCCGTATCACCCGCAAACTGACGGGATGGTCGAGCGTCTGCATCGAACCATCACGTCGATGTTGTCACAGTAGGTTTCAGGACTCACAGACCGATTGGGACCTGCAAATTCAAGGGGTCTTGGCAGCATATAGAATGGCCCCCCATGCGGCAACGGGATTTTCCCCCTTCTTCCTGATGTATGGCCGCGAACCTGACCCGCCTGTTCGGGCCCAGCTGCAGATCCCCGCGCCGCAGGGTAAAACTAAATTGGCCGATCCATGTTAAATTTAATCTTGCTAAATTAACAGAGGCACGGGATGCTGCCATGCAAAATTCCGACCTCCGTCAGAAAGCTAACGAGAGGCTCAGACTGGGTCGGGCGCACGTGCTGCAGTGGAAGCCGGGGGACAAGGCATGGCTGCACTGTCCACAGGTACCACTTGCAACCTCCTCTAAACTGGTGCGGCCATGGCGGTGCCCTGTGGAGGTGGTTGAGGTTTTGCGGCCTCAGTGCGTACGCATCAAATGGGGGAAACGGCGGTGGTTTGTGCACCCCTCCAGATTAAAACCCTTCGTTGCGGTACGAATTCCCACTTCACACACGCGTGGCCAAACATGTGGGGGGTCGACCGACTCACAGGGTCCGTCTCCGCTGCTCTCACCTAACATGTTGCCGGCTGTCCCGCCCCCAGGTGCACCAGGAGTGACGGGCTCACGCCCGACAACCCCTCCTGGGGATGCCGAGTGTCTCGCGGAATCAAAAAGAGACTCACTCGGAGACGGACAGTTGCCACCTGACAGTCCGCCATCCGGGGTTGCCCCGTGTGACGAGCCTGCTGCAAGGACGCGCGCAAAAATGCGCAGACTTTTGTGATGCCGGAAGAAATGTACATATGTTGTGTTCACTGTGTGTTGTGTGGGTGGTGTGTTCCCTGCACATTGGATTGCACATATGTTGTGTTCGCTGTGTGTTGTGTGTGTGGTGTGGTTCCCTGCAAATTGTATATAGGGTGCTTTTACGGAATTCGTATTTATTCGGGGGGGGGGGTGCGTCGGGTTATTTTCTCTTCTTGTTGTTGTTGTTCTTGTTGTTGTTCTCGTTCTCGTTATTGTTGAGAAAAAAAATTGTGAGGCACACGCGGGGTCAAGGGGTAAATACACTTTTATTGTCATTTTGTTGCAGCCGGGACGGCTGCGAGCTGTACGGGGTGGGGGGGGGTGGTGTAGGGGTGTTACTGAGGGCCTGTTATACATGGGATCACACGGGAAACAAACACAGTGGGCGGGGCTACGTGAGTGCACGGGGAGGTGCTCTCAACGACGTCCGCACCGGGCAGCCTGGCCCCACCCCTCAGTGGGGGGTTTTGGTATATAAGGAGATGAGCCGGAGGGCTCGGGGAATAATGTTAAAGCTAAACCAGTGAAGACTGAAAATCGTCCAGATAGAGCCCTGGACTCCCCTGGATCGTCGCCCTTATCAGGGCCGAACAGGACCGAGCCAGCGGCGTGGTCCCGAGAGCCAGAGCCGGTGCTCTTATCAGAGCTGGTCTGGGACTCCGGGTACCGTAAGCCCGACTTACCAGTGTCGGGCCAGATAGCCTCCCCTAGCCCGTTAGTGGAGGACTAGGAGGTAGGTTAGGCATAGCTAGCTAGTGTATCCCCAGCTAGCCGGGTGAGGGGGCCGATACCCCCTCCAGTGTTGTATGTCCTTGATTGTGCCAACTGACGCGGAATAAATACGTGTGCCTCCAACCCCGGCGTCCAAGAGTCCTCAACTATATTACAATAGTACTCGGCCCCCGGGAGGGACCCGTGGGGGATGCAGGTGCGGACGTCGGTGTGAGCACCTCCTCTGTGTACGGCCCTAACCACGCCCCTTGTGTTTGTTACCCATCCGTGCCCATACATCTTTACAATTACACCTCTACACAAGTAAAACAATTTGTGTTTTAATATGTACGTGTTTTTTTTTATTTCGGGCCCCTTTATAACAGCATATGCTACAGGCCCAGCACTCGCTTAATCCGGCACTAAGTCCAATGCAAAATCCACCCTGAAAAGAGTTTTACTGCGGATTTGTCTTTTTTGTTGTTATTGTTGTTGTTATTCATGGCACATTGTGTTCGCTGTTAAACCTTTGCCATGCGCACCTGTGCAGCGCTCTTCGTCAATCCACTGCTGAACGAGAGCCTCGCCACGCCGTCCGGGTAACGGGAGCTAGTCCTGGACCATACTTGGGTGGTGAAGGCGGGCAGCATAGAGAAGAACAGTACAACAGCAATTCGCGTTGCTGCCCTCACGTTGACCCGGCAAGTCCTACAGCGAGCTGCCTTTGTCTCTGTACGCTGCTGCTCGACCATTAAGGCACTTATCCAGGCTCAAAGCCTGCTTAGATGTTCCGTAGATGCGGTCACATTGGCAATAGGGAGGGGCCGGGGGTGGGGGCGATGTGTCAAGGGAAGGCGCTGAGGCTGCGTCGCCTGCCCCGGGTATTGTTGTTGTTGTGGTGGTGGTGGTGTTGGTATTCGGTGTACCGCTTAAACATTGACGCTGCATTTACGTCGGCACGCGCTCGCCGTTGTGCCACTGCCGCGTATGGGGGGTGAAACGTGGAAGTTCCCCCTTTCAATTTTGCCCACCGTGAGCCAAGGTGGAAGGAAGGCATGTTGCCAGTGGCCACCTCGGGCAGAAAGCTTGAGGTGTCGCTTGCTAGCGCGCTGCGCTGCAAACCCGCGGTCCCGAGTTCGATTACCGCTCACAGGCCAACACCGGTGACGATTATCTCAACCGGTCCTGGGCCTCCACTCTGAATACCTGATGCGATGTGTAAAAACATCGCCACTTGGGAGACAAAGGCGGCCGGACGTGGTGCTGGCCACCCACCACCTCGTGTGCCGTGCCGGCTTTCATAGGTGCTCGCTAACTGCACTTTCCCCAACAGTCTGTTGGGGCTATACTGGGGATCTTTGTCTTTGTGTGTGGCACGCAGTGGATAGGAAACTGCTCTCTGAACCTGACTACCCGAGGTCTTCCCAGCCATGATTTTACATCAGTATTCTTGGATTCCTCTCCGTCGACTCAGCCATAAATGAGTACCTGGTGTTGTTTGGAATCATTAGCACTGGGGAAACAATGTTAGCAGGAATTGCCCATTTTCAGAGGTTGAGATTAAGAGTTCAATGTCAAGGGTTTGTCACTTTACTACCTTTCACTTCCGCACGTTCAATGTATCGGATACGGCGAGGTTCACGCCTTTGCCCCAAACCTATCCCGATCGCTCATCCAGTGCAGTGAAAGTCCCGTGCCATGTGTACACACCGTCCAGACCACGAAAGCCCCGTCACCCTTGGCTTGGCTTTCCCACGCTAGCTCTTCCTGTCGATTGAGGTGCAGCTACCTAGCTATTATGGGGCTGATTAGGGAGCGTTTGAGTTCCTAAATTACAAGTGGATGCGGAGTACAAATACAATGGCTGCGACTGAACCCCACGCTGAGCTGCGCAGTGATGATGTTTCTAGCGGTCCCTCATTCACTTTTTCTTTTACCAATTCTCACCACATTGCCGTGACAAGATTCATACGAACTATCTGAGAAGTTGGAAACATTGTAGCAATCGGTTACTGCATGCTCATCAACATGGAACCCGACACTTAAATAATCGAAACAAGTTTCTGGAGAGAAAACTCGACATTATTTGCGGCCATATTGGCAAAAATGGCTGCCAAGTTGGATTGTGAAGCTGCTAAGGTTTTGGGGTTTGTTTTTCTGTCATCTTGGTACAGTGTCACAATTTGAACGATTCATGTGAAGGGGGAAAACAACGCACTTATCCGCTCCACTGCGGGGGCGTGTTAGCAACGCGCTGTAAAGTTACCTGCGGCGGATGCACTCAAACCAGTCCCCACGTCATTCACTGTCTCAGCCTTCCGTCGGGCTCTCAGGATTGCGACTTTGCCATCTCGTGGCTGTCTCTATGGCCTCCACCTTGTTTTTCTCATCGTGGAGATGTATCCAAAATTGTGTCGTGCGTTTATTTGCAGGCAGACGATAGTGTGTTTGTGGGGCGGGGTTTTTTATTCTAAAAATAAAAAAATATATAATTACTATTTGTATGTTTCCAGGAAAAGTCCCACTGAGCTGTGTAGATATTTTTCAGAAGCCACCTGGCCACACATGGTAGCTTAATATCACGTGGAATGTATTGCGGCCAAGTACTCTAAACGCATGGTTTTGTTTTTATGTGGAGCGGAAAAACGGAGGACCCGGAGAAAAATCCACGCGATCATTGGGAGAACATGCATAGTCGACACAGCGTGTGGATTCCTTCAGCCAGCAGTAAATTGGACTGCAAACTAGCCAATTAAACTCTCTCTTGTTTATTGTACCAGGTAAGACCCACGAAGCTATGTAGCTCTTTTGTTTAGAAGCGACCTGGCCACAAATGATAGCTCAACGAAGTGGCCCTTACATATGGAAATTTCTAGCAGACAAATATTCGAAACGCGTGTTGATTCTAAATATGGAGGGGAAAAGCCAGAGGACCCGCAGAAAGAAATCCACGTGACCAATGGAAGAGATATACACACACTCTAAATATACAGCAGCAGGCGCCAGGGTCAGGATCGAACCCACGACCTCCTGTATAGCAGGCGAGGGAGTTAACATCTCACCACGTGGAGAGAGACACGCAAACTCCAAATATACAGCAGCAGGCGCCAGGGTCAGGATCGAACCCACGACCTCCTGTTTAGCAGGCGAGGGAGTTAACATCTCATAGCCACCGCGGCGCTCTCAATAGTTAGCAATAGGCGCAGTATAATATTACTCTTTTGTGCACGATTATCATTCTGTTTGCAATAATTATAACTTCAAAACCTGGTCCTGACCCTGACCCTTGACCCTTGCTCCGGTGTTTTTCATCATCCGTAGTCGATCGGCTGTTGAACGACCTCCACCAAGTCGCCACCACCTCTCACGACCCTGCGATGCAATACAAACACGTAAGTAATCGCTCCATCTCCTCGGAGGACGTACTCTCCTGCTGGCTGACTGGGATTACACACCACAATCAGTGCTCTCTGCTGTTGCAGGTGGGGTGCTGAGTCGCGCTGTGCCCACGAGGGACAGCTGCTGCCGGATGAGATGCGACGTGAGGTGCTCTGAGATGACGCGGCGTTTGAGGAGGGCGCTCTATCAAAAAACGGTCATTTTGTTGCGATAAAAGCGCTCCTACGCCGTGACCTTGCCACGCATCCGGGAATGCAAGCGGCTCCATCCAATTGACGGCAGAGGCCGTCGTTCCCGAGCAAAGCTACACAGTGGGCGCTCCGAACATCGGTGAGTCGGACAGCAAGAGGGCGGGCGGCACTGCACGGCGGGCGTGGTGGCCTTGCTCGGACTGTGCTCAGCACTCGGTCAGTCCGTGTGGAGTTCAAGGTTCGATTCCAACCACGAGCAAATATATATATATCCGTGGGGAATTCAAATAATAATGACAACGCCTTTACTCAGGACAGCCTCGCTGAGTCTCGAGACCCCTTTTAACGAGGGTCTTGCTGCATTGGAACGTTGGGCCGAGGCCGTTGCCGAATGTTTCACTTCATGTGGGAAACAAACCGAGTCTCGGAGAGAAGCCGCTACAGCCAGCAGTGGGTCACCACTCAGAGCTCCGCACCGATGGATTCAATAATCCATTATCTTTCTGTCATCTTTGCAGGCCAAGCCAACAACAGTCTGCACTCCCAGACTCGACCACGCTTCGCTTGCGAGCTTTGATGAGATCAACGATGGCTTCAAAGTTTGGTCGTACATGTTAGGTATATCGTTTATTGTTACATTTGAATCACAGTTCCTATGATCACTGTTACATTGTTTTTATAGCTTTATTTTGGTGATTTTTAAAACGTTTTGCTTTAACCATGTTTGTTTGTTGTAGTACAGAATTAGCCTGATAACTTTAATCTACATTGTCTTATGGTTGTTATTGTTTGACTTGTATCCCACTGGGATTTTTTTTCACAGCGTTGAAATTCTGTGTTTTTTTCTGGAAGACTTTGCTGTTTTTTCCAAGATTTTTCTGTTGCGTGTAGTCACTTTAAGATGTTTCTTGTTCATGTTTTTATTTTGTTGCGGTTGCATCCGAATCAAGAGCCGCATGGCTCACGGGGTTATACCGAATAAATGAAATGAAATTAATGAGGTGCATTCGATTTGCTTTTAACGTTATTTAGCATTTGTTAAATGAATATTTACATTTTCATTCAGGGCGATTTGTTTATTGACCACGTGGGAGGCTGCCGTCGCGAGGTGTTAACTCCTTCGCCTGGTATACAGGGGATCGCGTGTTCGATCCCGACCCTGATGCCTGTATATTTGAAATTTGCACGTTTTACCCCGTGATCGCATGGATTCTTGTCCGGTCCCTCCACATTCAGAATCAACATCACGCGTTCAGAGTATTTGGCTGCTATAATTGTCCGCATGATAAGCCACTTCGTTGAGCTGTCCTGTGTGGCCAGGGACTCTTCTGAACAAGAGCTACGTCGCAGCTCAGTGGACCTTACTTGGTAGAATATAAAAAAAGAGATGAATTACGTCCAATCAGCACGGTCGGCACCGAGCACGGGAGACGCGGTATTAATATCAATGTCACCACGGCGACGAACACAACGACGACGACGATGATGATGTCGAATGACAACAACACGTTCAATTCCCGCTCACGGTCAAGACCGGTGACGATTATTTGAACCGGTCCTGGACCACCCCTAGGTCGACTCAGCCTCAAATGAGTACCTGGTGCGGTGTGTAAATATAGCCACTGGGGATACAAAGGCGGGCCGGGTGTGTTGCCGGCCACCCAGCGAGACAATTGGGCGCTGCGTGACGGGCCACACAGAGCCAACCGCGCGCACACCGCGGAGTGCTGTGGTTGAGCCGCACAAACGCCGTCTCTGAGCGACTAAGGACACCCCATTGATATCCACCATAGATCTACAGTATCTCTTTCTCACACACACAGAGACGACGGCGCATTGTCTTCTATTGGGGACTCATTTTGTTAAATAAAAAGCTATTACAGAGGTTGATTAATTTTATAAATGACACTCTCGCGCCCACATTTTGAACGATTCGTCTCACTGTTTTACACCTCGTTGGTTAAAATGAAAGATTAGCGAGGATGTTTTTTTTTTACATTTGCGCTGAAAGTAATTGAAGGGCGTGCATGACCGATGCCAATCGCGCATTTACAATCGCCGATTTCAATGTAAGGCAGACGGAGAGGGCCCATCCCGACGCGCTCTCGAGTTTGGTCGTGAACATGCCGTGGTGAGTGGTAGAGTGATGGTGAGTGGTAGAGCGATGGTCAGTGGAGTTGTAGAGCGATGGTGAGTGGGAGAGCGATGGTCAGTGGAGTGAGAGAGCGATGGTGAGTGGGAGAGCGATGGTGAGTGGGAGAGCGATGGTGAGTGGGAGAGCGATGGTGAGTGGGAGAGCGATGGTCAGTGGAGTGGTAGAGCGATGGTGAGTGGGAGAGCGATGGTCAGTGGAGTGGTAGAGCGATGGTGAGTGGTAGAGCGATGGTCAGTGGAGTGAGAGAGCGATGGTACGTGGGAGAGCGATGGTCAGTGGAGTGGTAGAGCGATGGTGAGTGGGAGAGCGATGGTCAGTGGAGTGGTAGAGCGATGGTGAGTGGTAGAGCGATGGTCAGTGGAGTGGTAGAGCGATGGTGAGTGGGAGAGCGATGGTCAGTGGAGTGGTAGAGCGATGGTGAGTGGTAGAGCGATGGTCAGTGGAGTGGTAGAGCGATGGTGAGTGGGAGAGCGATGGTCAGTGGAGTGGTAGAGCGATGGTGAGTGGTAGAGCGATGGTCAGTGGAGTGAGAGAGCGATGGTGAGTGGGAGAGCGATGGTCAGTGGAGTGGTAGAGCGATGGTGAGTGGGAGAGCGATGGTCAGTGGAGTGAGAGAGCGATGGTGAGTGGAGTGGTAGAGCGATGGTGAGTGGGAGAGCGATGCAAATCCGCGGTGATCACGGAATGGCTCCATCGCGACTGAGGGGCCACGAGTGATTTTATTGCCAATTTAAACCAACGGCAAAATCTAAAATGGAGTTGTGATATTGGCGTTAAATGGGAAGCATTGCATTTAATTGGCAGTGACTCTGATGCATCCATTAATTGTGTGCGTGCGCGTGTGCGTCTGTCTATGCGGCTTGTAGATGCAATGCTGCTCCTGCTGCTGCCGCCTTGTTCCACGTCTAAGATATGACGCAGGGATGTAATGATTCACTCCCCCCCCCCCCCCCCCCGGAGAGGATCGGTTAACAGTCCTTGTGAACCTCACAGGAGGAGCAGGAGAGAGTCAGAGGCCCTATGGGAAGGCTTTGAGGCAGCAGCAGATTGTTGGATAGTCAGGAAGAGGGAGGAAGAGGGAGGAGGAAATTTGAGCTCGAACCGGAGACGCCGTCGACCGGGCCAGGGGAGCGAAGCAGAAATCGCTCCGCGAGGAGAGAGTCGCGGAGGGTGCGGGCTGAGTTGAGGGAGCACGGGTAGACAAAGGGAGCTAGGCCCGGGCAGGAGATAACTTCCGATTGGTGGAAGCAAGGGGGTGAGATGGAGCAGGTGCTTTCTTTTGTCGCCAATGCAATGACCCATGTTTATTTGTTGGGTTCGGCAACGTGGTCGTGGTCGTTTTTTTTACCAACAATTTCTGTCAATAACCTTCCACCACCCGACAAGATTGTTACGTTGACAAATATTTTATTTTGTAAGCGCCAATGTGTTGATAACATTGTGACCACTACGGCGTAATGAATGTTAAGAGACACAGCAATCTCGATGTGTTCGCTGATTTTTTTGTGTTTCGTTTGATGTCCTTACTCCGCACCTCCGATTAGCACGGTTGGCTACGTACGGTGCAAAATAAGTGCAGCATACATACAGCAATAAAGTATTATTGATCGCCAATCAATGCTTCGGTGGGGAGATGTCTAGGAACGTCGAACTAGAGCCGGTTGGGTAAAGCGGTGGGGCAGAGCGCTCCGTGAAGGGGGAAGCGCGCGAGCACCTGCTGAGACGCGGACTCCTCTCACGTCCGAGGTCGCGGCAGATCCAGAGTTTGTTCGCTTCCACAGACGCCGCTCGATCATTTCGGTGCGCAAAGCCAACGAACGGCGCGCGTGCGTGTGTGCGCGTGTGCATGTGTGTGTGCGTGTGTGCGCGCGCGCGCGTGTGTGTGCGTGTGCGCGTGTATGTGTGTGCGTGCGCGTGTGTGTGTGTGCGTGTATGTATGTGCGCGTGTATGGTGTGTGTGTGTGCGCGTGTGCATGTGTGCGTGTGTGCGCGCGCGCGCGTGTGTGTGCGCGTGTATGTGTGTGCGTGTGTGTGTGTATGTATGTGCGCGTGTATGGTGTGTGCATGTGTGTGTGTGCGTGTGTGCGCGCGCGCGCGTGTGTGTGCGCGTGTATGTGTGTGCGTGCGCGTGTGTGTGTGTGCGTGTATGTATGTGCGCGTGTGTGGTGTGTGTGTGTGCGCGTGTGCATGTGTGCGTGTGTGCGCGCGCGCGTGTGTGTGCGCGTGTATGTGTGTGCGTGTGTGTGTGTATGTATGTGCGCGTGTATGGTGTGTGCGTGTGTGTGTGCGTGTGTGTGTGCGCGTGTGTGCGCGTGTATGTGTGTGTGTGTGCGCGTGTGTGTGTGCGCGCGCGTGTGTGCGTGTGCGCGTGTGCGCGTGTGTGTGTGTGCGCGTGTGTGTGTGCGTGTGTGTGTGCGTGTGTGCGTGCGCGCGTGCGTGCGCGTGTGTGCATTTATACACGCAGAGACACGGCACGGTGCTGTCGCTGCTGCTATTTGCCTCCGCGTAATTGCGCGCCCTGCATTAAAGCGCACGCGCGCGTTGTGCGGGCGAAGGGGGGGGCGAAGACAGCGCGGCGACCACGACGCGATCCCGACAGCAGCTTCCCCGCGTCGTCTCGTGCGCCTGGGGCGACCCTTACACTGCTCGCTCCCTGGGCCCTCTGCTCGCACCCTGATGGGATTGGCTCTCGGTGTGGGTTCGCTCTGTGGTGTGGCGAGCGGCTGGGCGGACGGGGGTGGGAGGGACGTCGAGGTGCTGTTACAGGCGGGGTCGCGTGCGTCCGTGTACACCACGCAGCCCGCCGCCGTTGACAATCCACTGCTCGATGAGGGAAACCTCCCCCGCCCCTCCACCTCCCACCACGCGAAATTGTGGAGGGGTGATTGACCATACTTCACCACGATGGAGAAAAGCGTGTTGGAGAAGTCGGGGCAGCGTACGCGCTGGAGGAGCATAGAAGTACAATACAGCAATTGATGTTTCTTCTGCACTGCCCCTCCCCCCCATACCCACACACCTCTGCCTTATTACCCGCAAACCGCCTGTGTGTCAGGCGATCTGTTCGTGCGTGGCGGTCACCCATCATCAGCGCACGGCCCCGGCCGATGAGACCCGGGGCGGCTACCGCGTGCGAGCGAGGCCACCCCGGGGGGACCTGACGTCCCCCGACCCCCTCGTGGACCGCTGCGAGCCACGCGCTTCGCCAGACGCGTTGCCCCCTGCTCACTCGCCACCGTCGGCGCAGACGGCTCGAGTGACTTGAGCCCCAAACGAGCCGTACGATGCGATTGCAGTCCAGGTACCGCCGACGACAATCCTCCGCATGCAGCTGCTGCTGCTGCAGCTGCGTCCTCTCGCTCACTCCCACGCAGCCATCCGTGCTCTCCACTCCCTGATTCTATGCAAATCCAGGCGCAATGCCCCCCCCCCTCCTCGGCATTCGACTGCTTCTCGCTGCACGGCATCTGCACGCCGCTGTTGATCCAGTGCAG